TGCACATCAAACTCTAGGTTCTTTGGCCTTTGGACCCTGAGACTTGCATCAGCAGCCTTTTGGGAACTCCCAGGCCTTTGGCCTCATACTAGTGGCTACAATGTCAGCTTCTTTGGTTTTGAGACTTTCAGATTTGGACTGAGCCATGTCACTGGCTTCCTTGGGAGCCATGCTGTAGGTTTCTCTCATTTCCCAGCTTATAGATGGCCTGTTGTGGGACTTTGCCTTTTTAATCATATGAGCCAACTCTGTTTAATAAATTACCTTTCATATATATGTAAATATAGTCTCTTTTATATGCATGTATATGTGTCTATGCCTATATCTATATTTCCTATTGGTTCTGACCCTCTGGAGAACCCTGGTTAATATATGGTGAAAGAATAAGTCACGAGGAAAATTAGAAAATGTCTTGAGACAAATAAAAATGAAAACACAACATTCCAAAGCTTCTGGAATGCAGCAAAATCAATATTAAGAGGATAGTTTATATATCTAACTACCTACATTGAAAAGAAGAAAGATCTAAAATCAGCAACTTAACTTTATACCTCAAGTAACTAGAAAAAGAAGAAGAAATTCAAGTCTATGTTAGCAGAAGGAAGAAAATAATAAAGTCTAGAGCAGAAGGCTGGGCACGGTGGCTCATACCTGTAATCCCAGCACTTTGGGAGGCCGAGACGGGCAGATCACCTGAGGTCGGAAGTTCAAGACCAGAGTGACTAACATGGAGAAACTGGGTTTCTATTAAAAAATACAAAATTAGCCTGGTGTGGTGGCACATGCCTGTAATCCCAGCTACTCCAGATGTGAAGGCAGGAGAATCACTTGAACTCAGAGGCAGAGGTTGTGGTGAGCCGAGATAGTGCCATTGCACTCCAGCCTGACAACAAGAGCAAAAATCCGTCTCAAAAAAAACGAAAACAAACAAACAAAGCAAAAACAAAAAACCTCTAGAGCAGAAATAAATAAAATAGAGAATAGAAAGAAGAACCAGAGAAACTAGTAGTTTCAAAGTTCAACAAAACTGACAAATCATCAGCTAGGATACCTAAGAAAAAAAAAAAAAGAAGATTCAACTTCTTTTAGAAACAAAAGAGGAGACATTGCAACGGATGTTACAGAAATAAAAAGAATTCTAAGAGTCTACTATGAATGATTATATACTGACAAATTAGATAGCCTAGGAGAAATGAACCAATTCCTAGCAACATGCAAGTTACCAAGACTAAGTCATAAAATAAAAAACCTGAATAGACTTATAACCAGTAACTGAACCAGGAATCAAAAACCTCCCAGCAAGGAAAAGCCCAGGACCAGATGACTTCACTGCAAAATTCTACCAAATATTTAAAGAATTAACACCAATTCCTGGCTGAGTGTGGTGACTCACATCTGTAATCCCAGCAATTTGGGAGGTCAAGGTGGAGGACTGCTTCAGTACAGGAGTTTGAGACCAACCCTGGGCAACATAGTGAGACCTCATCTCTACAAAAAATAAAAAAAATTATCTGAGCATAGTGGTATGTGCTTGTAGTCCCAGGTACTCAGGAGGCTGAGGTAGAAACATTGCTTCAGCTTTGGAGGTTGAGGTTGCTGTGAGCCATGATTGAGCACTGCATTCCAGCCTGGGTGACAAAGTGAGACCCTATATCAGAAACAAACAAACAAAAAACCCACCGATTCCTCTCAAACTCTTCTAAAAATCTGAAGAGGAGGGAACACTTCCGAACTCATTTTATGAAGCCAGTTTTACTCTGACATCAAATATAAACAAAGATACTATAAGAAAACTGCATACTAATATCTCTGATGAATATGAAAAACTCCTTAACACAATACTAGCAAATAGAATTCAACCACATATAAATAGTAGTATACAGCATGAACAAAGTGAGATTTATCTCTGAAACGCAAAGTGATGCAAAATGATTTTTGTATGAGTTCACACAAAAATTATTCAGTGTAATACAGCACATTAACAGAGTGAAGGGCCAAAATCACATGATCATCACATTTAATGCAGAAAAAGTATTTGACAAATCCATACCCTTTTGTGATAAGAAAACTCAATAAACTAGGAAGAGAAGCAAAATACCTCAACAAGATAAAAGCCATATATGAAAAGCCATAGCCAACATCGTACTCAATGGAGAAAAACTGAAAGTTTTCTTCCTAAGGTCAAGAAGAAGGGAAGACTGTACACTCTCTGTCTCCTTCTATTCTCAAGGTACTGGATTGTCTTTCCCAGCGTAATTAGGCAAGAAAAAGAAATAAAAGTCATCCAAATTGGAAAGAAAAAAAAAAAGAAAATTATCTCTCTTTGCAGATGGTATGATATTTTATGTAGAAAACCTTAAAATTTCCATAAAAAATATGAAGATTAGGTACAAGTATTTCTTTATATGTTCAACCAAGTATTATTTTTTAAATTAAGAAATATTTTTTTGAGATGGAGTCTCACTCTGTTGCCCAGGATGGAGCGCAGTAGCATGATCTTGGCTCACTACAGCCTCCACCTCACTATAGCCTCTGCCTCCTAGATTCAAGCGATTCTCCTGCTTCAGCCTCCTGAGTAGCTAGGATTACAGGTGAGCACCACCATGCCTGGCTAATTTTTATATTTTTAGTAGAGATGGGGTTTCACCATGTTGGTCATACTGGTCCTGACCTCAAGTGATCTACCTTTCTCAGCCTCCCAAAGTGCTGGGATTATAGGCATGAGCCACTGTGCCTGCCAATTTTTTAATTTTAAAAAATATTTTTGAGGACGATCCAAGATGGCCATTTAGGAACAGCTCGGAGTTGCAGCTCCCAGTGAAAGCACAGAGGGTGAGTGGACACCACATTTTTATTGTCCATGGACCAGGAGATTCCCAGGTGAAGGAGCCGCATGGGTCGCCAGTGCAGCTGTTTTGTCCGGCCCTGTTCTTCTGGTCAGCTGCTTTGCCTTGAGGATCTGCTTTGTTGGCACCCCGGCCAGCGGTTCTCCGTACAAAATACACTGGTCAGGGTGCCCTTTTGACTGGCAATTGGAGCCGTGGGAAGTGACCCATTCATCTGATTAAAGAGGGGACTGAACAGGGAGCCAGGCCAGGAGATTCCTGGGCAAAAAAAGTGCCATGAATCTCAGCGCACTGTTTAAGCCAGTCCAGGTCGCCGCATGGGAAATCACACAGATCCCGCCGCCCTTTCAACAGGCGACTGGAACACCTGGGATAAAAAAAGAAAAAAAAAAAGGCTCTGAGGCAGGGAGCCAGGTGATCAGGCTAGGCTGGTCCCACCCCCCACAAAAGAACAGCAATCAGAAACTCTCTCGATTCAGAGTTTCACAGCAAGCACAGCTGAACCCGGGACAGTCCAGCTCTGTCGGGGAGGGGCATCCGCCATTACCGAGGCACTCCACCACTATGGAGGTAGTCTGCCATTGCTGAGGCAGTCTGCCATTGTCGAGGAAGTCTGCCATTGCCAATGCACCCGCCATTGCTGAGGCTGCCTGCCGTTGCCAAGGAAACCCGCCGTTGCCGAGGCAAACTGGCATTACAGAGAGAGTCCACCAATATAAAGGCAGGCCACCATTGCCAAGGCAGTTCTAACTATACCCATCTAAACAAGACTGCAGGGAAGTTCACATGGCAGCTGGGTGGAGCCCACAGCAGCTCAGCAAAGCCTCTGCAGGCAGACAGTGACTAGGCTGCCTCCTTGCTGGGCAGGGTAGCCCTGAAAAAAAAAAGGCAGCAGCACAACGGAAACTCATAAATAAAGCCCTAACTCCCAGGGACAGAGCACCCGCGAACAAAAAGCGGTTTATGAGTTCTGCTGCAGCAGACGTAAACGTACCTGCCCAGCAGCTCTGAATGAACAATGGAGCTCACAGCTCAGCACTTGAGCTCCTATAAAGGACAGACTGTCTCCTCAAGCAGCTCACTGACCCCTGTATATTCAAAGAGTCACCTCATAAAGGAGAGATCAGACTGACATTTGGAAGGTATCCTTCTGGGACAAAGATAGCAGAAGAAGAAACTGGTAGCAACCCTTACTGTCTTGTAGCTGCAGGCAATCCCCAGGCAAGCAGGGCCTGGAGTGGACCTCAGCAGTCCTACAGCAGAAGGGCCAGACTGTTAGAAGGAAAACTAAGAAACAGAAATAACTTCATCATCAACAAACGAGACGTCCACTCAGAGGCCCAATCTGAAAGTCAGCAACTACAAAGAAGACAGGTAGATAAATCCATAAAGATGGGAAGAAACCAGTGCTAAAAGGATGAAAACACCTGAAACCAGAACACCTCTCCTCCTACAAGGGATCACAACTCCTCACCAGCAATGGAACAAGGTTGGATGAAGAATGAGTGTGATGAAATGACAGAATCAGACTTCAGAAGGTGGGTAGTAAGAAACTTCTGTGAACTAAAAGAACATGTTCTAATGCAATGCAAAGAAACTAAGAACTTTGAAAAAAGATTTGATGAAATGCTAACAAGAATGGACAACTTAGAAAGGAATATAAGTGAATTGATGGAGCTGAAAAACTCAACACGAGAAATTCATGAAGCATGCATAAGTTTCAACAGCCTAATTGACCAAGCAGAAGAAAGGATATCAGCGGTTGAAGATCAACTCAATGAAGTAAAACAAGAAGACATGATTAGAGAAAAAGGGTAAAAAGGAATGAACAAAGTCTCCAAGAAATGTTACAATATGTGAAAAGACCTAATCTACATTTGATAGGTGTACCTGAATGCGACAAAGAGAATGAATCCAAGCTGGAAAATACTCTTCAGGATACTATCCAGGGAAACTTCCCCAACCTAGCAAGGCAGGCCAATATTCAAGTCCAGGAAATACAGAGAACACCACAAAGATATTCCTCACGAAGAGCAATCCCTAGTCACATAATCGTCAGATTCACCAGGGTTGAAATGAAGGAGAAAATGCTAAGGGCAGCCAGAGAGAAAGGTCGGGTTATCCACAAAGGGAAGCCCATCAGACTCATAGCAGAAACCCTACAAGCCAGAAGAGAGTGGGGGCCAATATTCAACATCCTTAAAGAAAAGAACTTTCAACCCAGAATCTCCTATCCAGCCAAACTAAGCTTCATAAGTGAAGGAAAAATAAAATCCTTTGGGAACAAGCAAGTACTCAGAGATTTCGTCACCACCAGACCTGCTTTACAGGAGCTCCTGAAAGAGGCTCTACACATAGAAAGGAACAACCAGTAACAGCCACTCCAAAAACATGCCAAATGGTAAAGAGCATCAAAACAATGAAGAATCTGAATCAACTAATGGGCAAAACAGCCAGCTAGCACCAAAACGGCAGTATCAAATTCACACATAACAATATTAACCCTAAATGTAAATGGACTAAATGCCCCAATCAAAAGACACAGACTGGCAAATTGGATAAAAAGACAAAACCCATCGGTGTGCTGTATCCAGGAAACCCATCTCACATGCAAGGATACACAAAGGCTCAAAATAAAGAGATGGAGGAAGATTTACCAAGCAAATGGAGAGCAAAAAAAAGCAGGAGTTGCAATTCTCATCTCTGATAAAACAGACTTTAAAGCAACAAAGATCAAAAGAGACAAAGAAGGACATTACATAATGGTAAGAGGATCAATGCAACAAGAAGAGCTAATGATCCTAAATATATACGCACCCAATACAGGAGCACTCAGATACATAAGGCAAGTTCTTAATGACTTACAAAGAGACTTAGACTCCCACACAATTATAGTGGGAGACTTTAACACCCCATTGCCAATATTAGACGGATTAATCAAACAGAAAATTAACAAAGATATCCAGGACTTGAACTCAGACCTGGACCACGCTAACCTAATAGACATTTACAGAACTCTCCACCGCAAATCCACAGAATATACATTCTTCTCAGCACCACATCATGCCTACTCTAAAATTGACCACATAATTGGGAGTAAATCACTCCTAAGCAAATGCAAAAAACGGAAATCATAACAAACAGTCTCTCAGACAACACTGCAATCAAGTTAGAACTCAGAATTCAAAAACTAACCCAGAACCGCACAGCTTCATGGAAACTGAACAACTTGCTATTGAATGCTGACTGGATAAACAATGAAATGAAGGCAGAAATAAAGATGTTCTTCGAAACCAACGAGAATGAAGACACAACATACCAGAATCTCTGGGACACATTTAAAGCAGTCTCTAGAGGAAAATATATAGCAATAAGTGCCCACATGAGAAGCAAGGAGAGATCAAAAATTGACACCCTATCGTCAAAATTGAAAGAGCTAGAGGAGCCAGATTGAAAAAACTCAAAACCTAGCAGAAAACAAGAAATAGCTAAGATCAGAGCAGAACTGAAGGAGATAGAGACACAAAACACCCTTCAAAAAATCAATAAATCCAGGAGCTGGTTTTCTGAAAAGATCAACAAAATAGACAGACCACTAGCCAGATTAATAAGAAAGGAAAGAGAGAATAACCAAATTGATGCAATAAAAAATGATAAAGGGGATATAACCACAGATTGCACAGAAATTCAAACCATCATCAGAGATTATTACAAACAACTCTATGCACATAAACTAGTAAATCTGGAAGAAATGGAGAAATTGCTGGACTCTTGCCTCCTCCCAAGCCTAACCCAGGAAGAAGCCAAAATCCTGAACAGACCCATAACAAGGTCTGAAGTGGAGGCAGCAATTAAGAGCCTACCACCCAAAAAAAGCCCAGGTCCAGACGGGTTCACAGCTGAATTCTACCAGACATTCAAAGAGGAGCTGGTATCATTCCTTCTGAAACTATTCCAAATAATACAAAAAGAGGGAACAATAATACAACAAGAAAAGAAAACTTCAGGCCAATATCCATGATGAACATAGATGCAAAAATCTTCAATAAAATACTGGCAAGCCAATTGCAACAGCACATCAAAAGCTTATCCACCAGAATCAAGTAGGTTTCATCCCAGGGATGCAAGGCTGGTTCAACATACTCAAGTCTATAAACGTAATTCACCACATAAACAGAACCAAAGACAAAAACCACATGATTATCTCAATTGATGCAGAGAAGGCCTTTGACAAAATTCAACAGCCCTTTATGCTAAAAAACCTCAATAAGCTAGGTATTGATGGAAAGTATCTCAAAATAATGAAAGCTATTTATGACAAACCAACAGCCAATACCATACTGAATGGGTAAAAACTGGAAGCATTTCCTTTGAAATCTGGCACTAGACAAGGATGCCCTCTCTCACCACTCCTATTCAACATAGTAGTGGAAGTTCTAGCCAGAGCAATCAGGCAAGAAAAAGAAATAAAGCGTATTCAAATAGGAAAGGAGGAAGTCAAATAGTCTCTATTTGCAGACGACATGATTGTATATCTAGAAGACCCCATCGTCTCAGCCCCAAATCTCCTGAATCTGATAAACAACTTCAGCAAAGTCTCAGAACACAAAATCAATGTGCAGAAATCACAAGCATTCCTATACACCAATAACAGACTTAAAGAGAGCCAAATCAAGAACGAACTGCCATTCACGATTGCCACAAAGAGAATAAAATACCTAGGAATACAACTAACAAGGAACGTAAAGGACCTCTTCAAGGAGAACTACAAGCCACTGCTCAACGAAATAAGAGAGGACACAAACAGATGGAGAAACATTCCATGTTCACGGTTAGGAAGAATCAATATCGTGAAAATGGCCATACTGTCCAAAGTAATTTACACTATCCCCATCAAGCTACCAATGACCTTCTTCACAGAACTGGAAAAAAAACACCTTAAACTTCATATGGAACCTAAAGAGAGCCCGCATAGCCAAGTCAATTCTAAGCAAAAAGAACAAAGGGGGAGGCATCACACTACCGGACTTCAAACTATACTACAAGGATGCACTAATCAAAACAGCATGGCACTGGTACCAAAACAGAGATATAGCTCAATGGAACAGAACAGAGGCCTTGGAGACAACAAAACCTATCTACAACCATCTGATCTTTGAAAAACCTGACAGAAACAAGCAATGGGGAAAGGATTCCCTGTTTAATAAATGATGTTGGGAAAACTGGCTAGCCATGTGCAGAAAGCAGAAGCTGGACCCCTTCCTGACACCTTACAGTAAAATTAACTCCAGATGGATTAAAGACTTAAACATAATAACTAGCAACATAAAAACCCTAGAAGAAAATGTAGGCAAAACCATTCAGGACATATCCGTAGGCAAGGACTTCATGACCAAAACACCAAAAGCATTGGCAACAAAAGCCAAAATAGACAAATGGGACCTAATCAAACTCCACAGCTTCTGCACGGCAAAAGAGAGTCATTAGAGTGAATCAGCAACCAACAGAATGGGAAAAAATGTTTGCAGTTTACCCATCTGACAAAGGGCTGATATCCAGAATTTACAAAGAACTAAAACAGATTTACAATAAAAAAAACAAACAAGCCCATTCAAAAGTGGGCAAAGGATATGAACAGATACTTTACAAAAGAAGACATACATGAGGCCAACAAACATATGAAAAAATGCTCATCATCACTGGTCATCAGAGAAATGCAAATCAAAACAACATTGAGATACCATCTCACGCCAGTTAGAATGGTGATCATTAAAAAATCTGGAGACAACAGATGCTGGAGACGATGTGGAGATACAGGAACAATTTTACACTGTTGGTGGGAGTGTAAATTAGTTCAACCATTGTGGAAGACAGTGTGGCGATTCCTCAAGGACCTACAATTAGAAATTCCATTTGACCCAGCAATCCCATTACTGGGTATATATCCAAAGGATTATAAATCATTCTACTATAAGGACACATGCACATGAATGTTCACTGCAGCACTGTTTACAATAGCAAAGACTGGAACCAACCCAAATGCCCATGGATGATAGACTAGACAGGGAAAATGTGGCACATATACACCATGGAATATTATGCAGCCATAAAAAACGATGAGTTGGTGTCCTTTGTAGGGACATGGATGAACCTGGAAACCATCATTCTCAGCAAACTGACACAAGAGCAGAAAATCAAACACTGCATGTTCTCATTCATAGGCGGGTGTTGAAGAATGAGAACACATGGACACAGGGAGGGGAGCGCCACACACTGGGTTCTGTTGGGGGGAGAAAGGGGAGGGACAGCTGGGGGTGGGGATTTGGGAGAGATAGCATGGGGAGAAGTGCCAGATGTGGGTGATGGGGAGGAAGGCAGCAGATCACACTGCCACATGTGTCCCTATGCAACAATCTTGCATGTTCTTCACATGTACCCCAAAACCTAAAATGGAATAAAATACATTATAAAAAATATTTTTTATAGCAGCATGTCTAAGTATTATTTTAATAGTAAATATTGGAGTCAACTTCAATTTTGAACAGGATAAGTAATTATGATGCAGCACATTGAACAGTCTTCTATTAAGCTAAACAAGAATTAAAAATGATATTGAAATATATTTACTGAAAAGAAACACGTTTGTGATATACAGTTAAGCACAAAATAATTCTGGTTATAAGAACATACGGTCAACATTCACTGATTTTTATAAGAATATTTGACAGATAGGTAGGGGGAGAAGGGAAGAGGAGGGTTGGGGAGGGGAAGGGAGAGGAGGGATAGGACATTTGGGTGGATTCACATCAAAAGGTTCAGAAGGAAATGATGTTTTTTTTTTCTGGATGTGACTATTGCAGATTTTATTTTTAACTTTCCCCCTTTTCCTTGTTTATTTATATTTTCTGATTTTAAGAGAAACTATATATATTACTTTTCAACTTAAAAATACTTTAGTGTGAGAAGTCCCATTCAGGTGCCCTTCTCTTTTGAAAGAAAGAAAGCTGTTCTCTGGGCCAGGTGTGGTGGCTCACACCCATAATCCCAGCACTTTGGGAGGCTGAGGTGGGAGGATCACCTGAGGTTGGGAGTTTGAGACCAGCCTGACCAACATGAAGAAACCTCGTCTTTACTAAAAATACAAAATCAGCCAGGTGTGGTGGTACATGCCTGTAATCCCAGCTACTTGAGGGGCTGAGGCAGGTAGAATCCCTTGAACTGGGGAGGTGGGGGTTGTAGTGAGCCGAGATTGCACCATTGCACTCTAGCCTGGGCAACAAGAGCAAAACTCTGTCTCAGAAAAAAAAAAAAAAATAGTGCTTCAATAATACAGAAGAAACTCAATTTCAAACATTGCAGATAATTAAAGCATTACTAACTGTAGAAATGCTTACTTTCACAATTTCTGTAGTGATATTTAAGACCCGATATCACCTTGGGAGTTAGAACTGGTGCAGGATCTTGTCCTAACACTTCCAAAAAGGCATGTAGCTGCCCCAGCTCTATATGTTTATGTTGTCTTATAATAGACCAACTAGTTGTTTATTAGGATGGCCAAAAAAGCACATTTCAAACATGTCTATTAAAATATTAGTAGTACAAATAATAGTGTTGCTTAATTTTTTCTAATGAGAATGATAAAATTCCAAAACAACATAAGCAGATAAATAGTAATAATATGGTTTAATCAAATTAATTGTAATATCATTATTAAAATGAGATTATGTATGTTAAGTAGTGGTATCTTAAGCCACTGAAATATCTTCCTTGATCTAGCATGAGTTTTCTATGGAGATTAAAATGATGTAAAATTGAAAAGTCTTGGTTAATAAATGAAGGTGCAAAGCCAGAAACTCTGTTTAAAGAACTAACAACAAAGGTCATGAATGATCTGGTGGTTGTTACATTTTCTTGTTTACCCGTGGAAAAGACTATGCTCAAGCATGTATTGAATCCAGTGATAGCCAGAATGTCATCCATACTGCTAGCAGCCATCAGTAAGGTTGGAATGCCTTTCTTAATACCATATCCATTTTCTTGCAACAGCAGCATGGAAGGAACAATAACAGCAGGAGAGACAGCACCTAGAATAAAACTGAAAGAAAGACTGAAAATTAATTTTAAAGTATCTTTTAAATCAAATAGTGTTTTATAAGTACAAGTCGTTTATAATAAATTTACATTGTTTAGAAGAATTTCAAATTTGAGTGAATGCAATTTAATGGTTATAAAACTTTTCATGCATTGTTTAGTGTTCCCTAAAATGTTATACAGATGTTTTTTAAAATGTTGGGCTGAGCATAGGTTGTAGTCTCTCCCTCTATTTCTAAATCCTTTGAAGTGAAGATGTAAAAGTAATAGAAAAATTCATAACCTAACTAGAAAGCAAAAGGTGAATCCTCAATGGACAGGAAACTAAATATATCCCAGGAAGATAAGAGACAGACAATTTAGGATTGAAAAAAGGAAACCATAAATCAAAATGTGTGTAAGTAAGATTGCTTCAAAAGATATGTGTGCTTCTAAAAGTACTCCAAACCCTGAAATGGCAGATTCTGGGAGCAAGAGAGACCTCTGGGGAAACCAAATTGTTGATTATTTGGAGTACCACTGTAAGAATGGCCAGACAAATCTTCCTTCCACACATTTCCTACTTCTTGAGTAAGTAAGGAATGAAGGAACAGAGATGTCTGCCCTAAAAAACAAGTGTGGCCACCTAAGTTACAAAGGCAAATGAGAAAATTTCTGGAGTGGGTGATGACACCCATGAGGAATGGAGAGACTCCTACTCAGATTACCTTCTGTTGGCATATCTTAATCAGAATTTTGCCTCATCTCTTCTACATTTATTTTATAAAGGCTGAAGTATATCCTGTGTAGAAATGCTCTTGGTGTTCCTGCCAGAAACCATTTATGAGGTCAGTGAACAGCTGCTGCTTGTTGGCTGCTAACATCTGCAGGTTTCTAGAACCCTTGTCCTGCTGACAAGCACTTACCTGGGTATACTAGGGAGGTTTTGCACCCCTCTACCTTGCCTCCAGACAGCATCTGCCAATGACTGACTGATGTGAGGGTATAATTATTTTGCCCATTTGCTTCTGGCTATACAACCTCTATGGTGCAATTTATGCTACAGATTTCCCTGTGGACTCAAGAAGAGACTAGTCTTCTCTAAGATCACATATCAGCCTATTTCAGTGGTTCCTGAACTCTGCTGCACATTGTAATCACCTGTTGTATTATTTTTCTCACTTTGCTTAACAAACCATTCTCAAACATAGGAGCTTCAAACAACAAATATTTATTGTCTAGTGAGTTCTGTGGGTCAGGAATGTGGATATGGCTTAGGTGTATGCCTTGACTTAAGACTTCTCATGAGGCAGGTGGGGGTTGGAGAAGATCTGCTTCCAAGTTTACTCATGTAGCTATTGCAAGCTGTTAATGGCCACCACAAAAATACATTTAAGTACATACACCATTGACACTGTAAAGCAACTACACAATCAAGTCTGTGTAATAACCAGCTAACAGCATAATGATAGGACCAAATCCAAAAATATCAATATTAACTTTGAATGTAAACTGCCTGAATGCCTCATTTAAAAGTCACAGAGTGGCAAATTGGATAAAGAAGCAAAGCCCAGCTGTATTCTGCTGTCAAGAGACCATCTCATATGCAACAATACCCATTGGCTCAAAGTAAAGGGATGGAAAAAATCTACCAAGTAAATACAAAACAAAAAAGGGTAGGCATTGTTATTTTAATTTCAGAGAAAATAGATTTTAAACCAACAACAATAAAAAAGGACAAAGAAAGGTACTACCTAATGATAAATGGTTCAATTCAACAAGAAGACTTAACTGTCTGAACGATATATGTGCCCAAAACTGAAGTATTCATATTTATAAGATGAGTTCATAGAGACCTATAAAGAGACTTAGATAACCAGAGAATAATAGTGGGAGACTTCAACATCTTACTGACAGTACTAGACAGATCATGAGACAGAAAATGAACAAAGATATTCAGGACCTGAAGTCAACACTTGGCTAAATGGATCTAATAGCCATCTACAGAACTCTCCACCCAACAACTACAGAATATATATTCCTCTCATCTGTACCTGGCATATACTGTAAAACTGACCACACTATCAGCGATAAATTTATTTTCAACAAATTAAAAAAACCCTGAAATCATACCAAACACACTCTTGGACAGCACAGTGCAATAAAAATAGAAATCAACACTAAGAAGAACTCTCAAAACCTTACAATCACATTGAAATTAAACAACCTGTGCCTGAATAACTTTTGGGGAAACAATAAAATTAAGGCAGAAACCAAGAAATTCTTCAAAACTGGTTAAAACAAATATACAACATACTAGACTCTCTAAGACACAGGCAAAGGAGTGTTACGGGAAAAGTTTACAGTGCTAAATGCCCCCATTGAAAAGTTAGAAAGATCTTAAATTAACAACCTAACATCACACCTAGAGAAAATAGAAAACCAACAGGAAACCAACCCAAAGCTAGCAGAAGAAAAGAAATAACCAAACCAGAGCAGAATGGAATGAAATTGTGTCATGAAAATCCATACAAAAGATAAATAAAACTAAAAGCTGGTTCTTTGAAAAAATAAATAAATTTGACAGGTCACTAACTAGACCAATAAAGCGGGGGGAAAAAGAGAAGATCTAAAAAACACAATCAGAAATGACATAAGTGGACATTATTGCCAATCACACAGAAATACAAAAAACTTTCAGACGTTATTATGAACACCTTTATGCAAACAAAGTAGAACACCTACAAGAAATGGGTAAATTTCTGGAAACACAGACTCTCAAGATTAAACTAGAAAGAAATTGAAACCCTGAACAAACCAATAATGAGTTCTGAAACTGAATGAGTAATAAAAAGTCTCTGAGCAAAAAAAAAAAAAAAAAAAAAAAAATTCATAGACAAATTCTACAAGAAGTGTAAAGAAGAGCTGGTACCAATGCTGCTGAAATTATCCTAAAAAAAATGAGAAGGAAGGATCCCTCCCTAACTCATTTTATAAAGCCTGCATCATTCAGATATGAAAACCTGGCAGAGACACAACAAAAAAGAAAACTTCAGGCCAATACGAGGCAACTGAATCCAGCAGCACATCAAAAAGCTAGTCCACTATGGTTAAGTAAACTTTATCCCTGGGATGCAAGTTTAGTTCAACATACACAAATCAATACATGTAATTTATCATATAAACAGAAGTAAAAATAAAAACGTCCCTTCACGATATAAACCCTAAACAAATGAGTTACCGAAGGAGTATACCTCAAAATAATTAGAGCTGTCTATGACAAACCCATAGCCAATGTCATACTGAATGGGAAAAAGCTGGAATATTCCCTTTGAGAACTGGAACAAAACAAAGATGCCCACTCTCACTAGCCCTATTCAACATAGTGCTGGAAGTCTTACCCAGAGCAATCAGCCAAGAGAAAGAAACACAGACATCTAGGTAGGAAAAGTAGAAGTCAAATTGTGCCTTTTCATAGATGAAACACTTTATACCAAGAAAACCCCTTAGTAGCCTCTCAAAAGCTCCTAGATCTGACAAACAACTTCAGCAAAGTTTCAGGTTACAAAAATCAGTGTACAAAATCTGTAGCATTTCTGTACACCAACAACATCCAAGCTGAGAACCAAATCAAGAATGCAGTCCCATTCACAATAGCCACAAAAAACCCACAAAATACCTTGGAATACAACTAAGCAGTGAGGTGAAAGATCTCTACAATGAAAAATTACAAACCATTACTAAAAGAAATCAGAGACAACACAAACAAAAGGAAAACATTCCACGATCACAGATAGGAAGAAGCAATATTCTTAAAATGGCCATACTGTCCAAGGCTGTTTACAGTCAATGCTACTCCTATCATACTACCAATGACATTTTTCACTGAATTAAAAAAAGCATTCTAAAATTCATTTGAAGTCAAAAAAGAGCCCAAATAGCCAAAGCAATCCTAAGCAAAAAGTACAAAGCCTAAAGTGTCACACTGCCTGATTCTGAACTGTACTACAATGCTACAGTAACCAAAACAGCATGGTACTGGAACAAAAACAGACACAGAGCTATGAAACAGGTTACAGAACCCAGGAATAAAGCTGCACACCTATAGCCATCTGCTCTTCTACAAGCTTGACAAAAACAAGCAATGGGGAAAGGAATCCCAATTCAGAAATTGTTCTGGGATAACTCGCTAGCCATATGCAGAAAATTGAATCTGGACTCCATACATTTCACAGTTTACAAAAATCAACTTAAGATGGATTAAAGACTTAAAATGTGGCTGGGCGTGGTGGCTCACGCCTGTAATCCCAGCACTTTGGGAGGCCAAGGCGGTGGATAATGAGGTCAAGAGATCAAGACCATCTAGGCCAACATGGTGAAATCCCATCTCTACTAAAAATACAAAAATTAGCTGGGTGTGGTGGTGCATATGCCTGTAGTCATAGCTACTTGAGAGGCTGAGGCAGGAGAATCATTTGAACCCGGGAGGTGGAGGTTGCAGTGGGCTGAGGTTGGGCCACTGCATTCAAGCAACAGAGTGATACTCCATCTCAAAAAAAATTCTTAAAATGTAAACCCAAACTATAAAAACCATGGAAGATATCCTAGGAAATACCATTCTGGACACAGGCCATTCTGGACATATCCTAGAAATTTCAATTCTGGAAAACATTTTATGATGAAGACGCCAAAAGCAATTGCAACAAAAACAAAAATTGACAAATGGGACCTAATTAAACTAAAGAGCTTCTGCACAGCAAAAGAAATAATCAGCAAACAACCTGTGGAATGAGAGAAAATATTTGCAAACCATGCATTCAACAAAAGTCTAACACCCAGAATCCAAAAAGAACTTAGAAAAATCAACAAGCAAAAACCTAACAGCCCATTAACTGGGCAAAGGACAGGACCAGACACTTCTCAAAAGGAGACAAACACGTGTCCAAGAAGCATATGAAAAAATATTCAACATCACTAATCATTAGAGAAATGCAAAACAAACTACAATGAGATACAATCTCACAGGAGGCAGAATGACTATTATTAAAAAGTCAAAAAGTAACAGATGCTGGCGAGTTTTGGGCGCTACTCCTAGGTCTTTTGGAGGCTGAAGCACATAAGAATTTCTTGAACCTGGGAGGCAGAGGTTGCAGTGAGGTGAGATTGGGCCACTGTACTCCAGCCTGGGCAACAGAGCAAGACTCTGTATCCAAAAGAGAAAGGAAAAAAAAAGAAAAACAAACACAAACAAACAAAAAGCACACAAAAATTACATAATCACCAAACAGATGCAGAGCATTTGACAAAATTTAGCATTCCTTAAAACTCTCAGCAAAGTTGGCATAGAAGGGACATACCTTGGGTAATAAAAGTCACCTATGAAAAACCCACAGCCAACATTATACTGAATGGGGAAAAGATGAAAGCATTCCCCCCAAGAACTGGAACAAGACAAGCATGCCCACTTTCACCACTTTTATTCAACATAGAAGTCCTAGCCAGAGCAATCAGGCAAGAGAAAGAAATAAAGGGCATCCAAATCGGTAAAGAGGAAGTCAAACTGCTGCTGTTCATGATGATATAATTGTATAACTAGAAAAGCCTGAAGACTCATCCAAAAAGCTCCTAGATCTGATAAATGAATTCAGTAAAGTTTCAGGATACAAAATCAATGTACACAGACCAGTAGCACTGGTATACACCGATGGTAACTGAACTGAGAATTAAAGATCTCAACCTCTTTAACAACAGTTGCAAAACAAAACAAAAACAAAGAATAAAAAAACCCAAATACACAAACTTAGGAATATACCTAACCAAGGAGGTGGAAGACTTCTACAATGAAAACTACAAACACTGAAGAAAGAAATCATAGATTACATAAACAAATAGAAACACATCACATGCTCATGGATGGGTAGAATCAATATTGTGAAAATGACTATACTGCCAAAAGCAATCTACATCGTCATTCTTCCCCAAACTAAAAAAGGTAATCCTAAAATTCATGCGGAACACAAAAATAGCCTGCATATCCAAAGGAAGACTAAGCAAGAAGAACAAATGTGGATGCATCACATTCTTGACTTCAAACTATGCTATAAGGCTATAATCACAAACGCAGCATAATACCGGTATAAAAATAGGCACATAGACCAACAGAAGAGAATAGAGAACCAAGAAATAAAGCTAACTGACCTTTAACAAAGGAAACAAAAACATAAAGTAGGGAAAGGACACCCTACTCAACAAATGGTGCTAGGATAATTGGCAAGCCACATGTAGAAGAATAAAACTGGATCCTCATCTCTCACCTTATACAAAAATCAACTCACGATAGATCAAAGACTCAAATCTAAGACCTGAAACCATAAAAATTCTAGAAGGTAACATTGGAAATACCCTTCTAGTCACTGGCTTAGGCAAAGACTTCATGACCAAGAACCCAAAAGCAAAGGCAACAAAAACAAAGATAAATAGATGGGACTTAATTAAACTAAAAAGCTTCTGCACAGCAAAAGAAATACAGAGTAAAAAGACAACTTATAGAGTGGGAGAAAATCTTTATAAACTATGCATTCAATAAAGCATTAATGTCAAGAATCTATAAAGAACTCAAACAAATCAGCAAGAAGAAAACAAATTATCCTATCAAAAAGTGGGCTAAGGACATGAATAGACAATTCCCAAAAGAAGATATACAAATGGCCAAGAAACATGAAAAAAACACTTAACATCACTAATTATAAGGGGAATACAAATCAAAACCACAGTGCAATACCATCTTATTCCTCCAAGAATAGCCATAATCAAAAAATAAAAAAAAAAATAAATGTTGCCATGATGTGGTAAAAAGGGAACACTTTTACACTGCTGTGGGGAATGTAAACTAGTACAACCACTATGGAAAAGAGTATGGAGATTCCTTAAATAATTAAAAGTAGATCTACCATTTGATCCAGCAATCCCTCTACTAGATATCTACCCAGAAGAAAAGAAGTCATATGAAAAAACACTTACACACATGTTTATTGCAGCACAATCTGCAATTGCAAAATTTGGAAGTAGCCCAAATGCCCATCAATCAATGAATGGATACAGAAAATATTATATATATAAACACATATATATATGTATATATATATATAATATTTCATCCATGTATATGTGTGTGTGTGTATATATATATATATACCATGGATGAAACACTACTCAGCCATAAAAAGGAGTGAAACAATGGCATTCGCAGCAACCTGGAAGGAATTGGAGACCATTATTCTAAGTGAAGTAATTCAGGAATGAAAAATCAAACATTGTATGTTCTGACTTACAAGTGGGAGTTGTGCTATGAGGATGCAAAAGCATAATAATGATAGAATGAACTTTGGGGACTTAGGGGGAAAGGCAGGAGGAGGTAAGGGATAAAAGGCTACATCTTGCGTGCAGTGTACACTGCTGCAGTGATGGTTGCACCAAAATCTCAGATTCTCAGAAATTACCACTAAAAATCTTTTCCATGTAACCACAAAACGCCACCTGTTCCTTAAACACTACTAAAAAAAAAAAAAAAAAAAAGATGTGGAATCAACATAAATGCCCATCAATGGTGAACTGGATAAATAAAATGTGGCACATATATACCACAGAATAATACACAGCCATAAGAAAGAATGAGATCATGTCTTTTGCAGCAACATGGATGGAGTGAGGCCATTATCCTAAGTGAATTAACACAAGAGCAGGAAACCAAATATCCCATATTCTCACTTATAAGTGGGAGCTAAACACTGAGTACACATGGACAGAAAGAAGGGAGCAATTGTCACTAGGTGAATTTGAGGATGGAGGGTGGAGGGTGGAAGGAGGGTGAGGATAGAAAAACTACCTATTGGGTATTATTACCTGAGTGACAAAACAATCTGCACACCAAACCCCTGTGACATGCAATTTATCCATATAACAAACCTGCTCATGTACCCCTTAAGCCTAAAATAAAAATTGAAGAAGGATAAAACTCCTAAGAGTTGTCACTTTTGGTAGAGGTATGGGTATTATGATTTGAAGGCATAGTCAAAGGTCATTTCTCCTTTATTTATAAAGTTCTAATTTTTAAAAGAAAAGTGCATTTGGGCATTTTATCATAAACATTAATTAAAAAATTCACTGGATTTCATAGTAACTGTGTAATGGATGAACTTTGCCATGAGTGTCATTGGAATGGATAAGCAGAGACAAAAGTTAATGAATTGAAAAATGAAAAGGAGTTAGGATCTAGAGACAGTAATTACAGACTTATTTTGAGGAATTCAAATGTAAGGCAAATGGATGGTAGATAAAGATAGATGAGGCACTGGATATACGGCAAGAATTTTTGCTTGCTTGTTTTCTTTAAAATGAGAAAGTTCATATTTATACACCTGTGTCTATATAAAATGTTTCTCAAATATATATATACACATACACATATATGAAATATGCAACTGTATTTACATATAATTGTGGGGAAGAGGCCATTAGATAGATTAAAACATACAGATGAAAAGGGATAAATTGATCGTGTGAATTTTATTGATGATATACATTTAGAGGATATGAATGTTTGTTAAAAATTTGATACAATTTGGGACATGGCTCTGCTTTTAATCAACTGATTTCCAAGGTTTTCAACACTGTGAAAAGAATTTTAACAGAGCTTTTCTATACAACATTCTGAATATTTTAACAATTTTAACCAAGCATCCTTAATTGAATATTTTCATTTAAAAAAATGAGAAAGAAATTACCCTAATAGAAATGCCCATTGCCAAGGAAATTTCATAATGAAGTGGGAAAAAACAGCAGCTGCACTTGCCTCTATAAGGCATGGACCTGCTGCCAATCTGAAACAAACCCCCTTCAATTGCTTCAAAGCCTGAAATACAAAACAGTCATACTTAGATACATTTACAATGGCCAACAAGAAAATTATGTAAACAAATATCAAAATATAAAGTTTTTTTCATGAGAAGCTTTCACTAAATGAAATCTCATTTCAACAGATGGTCCCATTAGACATGGAACATATAAAATTACATTTTATATGTCATCATAGATTGGATTATAAACAATTTCATCTTTTATAAAATATTATTGTATTTTAATTATTAAAATATCAATTTTACTGTGATTAAATAGCTATTGGTACCTTCCTTAACTTTCTTAATAAATAGTATAATGATAGTGACCTATTAGTGTTTTGTCATCAGTTAACTTTTAGAGATGAACGGTTTGATTAACTTAATAATTATAAAAAGAATCCCAACATGCCAAAGAAAATCACTTAAAAACTGCGTAATTAATTTTAAAAGGGAGAGCTTTTCAATTTTGTCCTTGGTTCATACTTTCTACTGGAAAATATAATCTCATTGGCTATAATTGTTTATGCTCGAGATATTTCTATTAAAGTACATTTGGCACATTTATTTGAGTAACTATCATATTGATGAATAGTCATCTTCTTAAAGATGGGATTTATGATCCCTAGATTGTAATATTTTAAGAAATACTTTAAAAGATTAGATTTTACAATAATGCAAAGATAATCGGAAACATAATTCTGTGGAGAAAATGTCATGAAAAAAAAAATCACTGAAATCCTTACTTTCCCTAAAAAAAGAAAAAGACTTCTATAAGATTTTTCTTGTCCTATGTTAAATGAAAAGTACATAGTTCTCCATAGAAGAGCTTCCCAAATAATATAGTGGCTACCTAAGAGACATTTATCTCTGTGCAAATGATTAAAGGAGGTCTCTAATAAAGACTTTATGACACAGTCAGTTCAGTTCTCTTCATATCAGTGATAATGTTGGCTAAAAATAGAACTTAAAGTGCCATTATTTCTACAGTCTTTTTCTCCTTTATTTCTTTTTTTTTTTGGAGATGGAGTCTCTCACTCTGTCATCCAGGCTGGAGTGCAGTACCACTATCTTAGCTCACTGCAACCTCTGTCACCCAGGTCCAAGCAATTCTTTTGCCTCAGCCTCCCAAGTAGCTGAGATTACAGGTGCATGCCACCACACCTAGCTAATTTTTGTAGATTATAGGCAGGAGCCACCTCGCCCTTCCTTTTTTCTTTATCTTAGGTTTGTTTACAGACTCCACTTGGAACAGGTAAATAAAATTTTTGTCTCTTTTTCTTTCCCACTATCTTCAAAATTTTGAAATAAGCTTACTCAATTTACAATTGTAAATCTACCTGTGGATCAAGTCCAAGCCCAGCTCGTATTAGAATAACAGTAAGGGCAATGTTTCTTAAAACTGAAGACAATGTGCTATCGACATGGACATGTTTACTGATGAATGGAACATTCCTAATTATAAAACCAGCCAGCAACATCCCTTAAAAGAAAGAAAATAAAGATACATGATTCAGTTCATTTTTCTGAGAAAGAAAACAGAAATGTTTAATTTTTCCCTAATACACTATGTCTCTCATTATTTTCGTAAAGGGCAGGTTACAAGCAAGTAGAGAATGCGGCATGAATAAAGGAATGGCAATAAGAAACAATACATCTAAACGGGGTTCCACAAGTAATTTAGTGTTGGTGGAACATACAGGGCAAGGAAAGGAGGGAGGAGAATGAACTTGAAGGGCCAGATCATGGAAAGGTATCCCCCAGCTTTGGCAAAATAAGGCATCATGGGAAGGTTTTAGGCAGAAAGTAACACAATGAGTGTTGTGTTTTTTTTTATGTGAGGAACTTGGTGAATTAGTTAGGGATAAAACTGGAAACAGAGATTAATTTGAAGACTCTGTCACAGTCCATGCAAAAGTTGGCAACAAATAGCCTAAGCCAGAGCAAAAGAGAAAGTCTGGAGAGGAGAAAAATGAATCTGTAAATACTTAGAAGCTGCTGCAAGAAAACTGTGGATACAGAAAGGACAGCAGAGATAAGATGTATAGATTATCTCTACTGACAGTGTACTGAATATATATTTATTTTTTGGGACATGGTCTCATTCTGGTGCCCAAGTTGGAGTGCAGTGATGCAAACATGGCTCACTGCAGGCTTAACCTTCTGAGCTCAAGTTATCCTCTTGCCTTAGCCTCCTGAGTAGCTAAGACCCAGAAACATTTTTAAGTTTTTGTAAAGACAAGTTCTGCTATGTTGCTCAGGCTGGTTTTGAACTCCTGGGCTCAGGCGATCCTCCTGCCTTGGCCTCCCAAAGGGCTAAGATTATGGGCATGAGCCACTGTGCCTGGCCTACTGTATATTTACATATGTTTGAATACAGTAAGTTCTCACTTAACATCATTTATAGGTTATTGGAAATGGCAACTTTGAGTAAAATGATGTAAAACAAAACTAATTTTATCATAGGCTAATTGATACAAACAAGAGTCAATTTCCTATAGCATATTTCTGGTCACAAAACATCACAAAACTTCTAAATACAGATCCAAAACACTTCTAGTACTAAGCAATGAAATAAATGTGAGCTCTATATACATTTTAGAAAGATTTAAAAAAATAAGTAAGATAATTACTTACCTGATTTTTGGTGAATCCATGAATGATCGTGGTTATAGTGGTAACAGTTAACATCAAAGAATAAATCTTTACAAAGTGAAAATAGTAAGGAGCACCTCCTCCCATCATGCAGTTCAAAAACAATCACAAACATTGTAGGCTGGCAGACAGCTTTCATATCACATTGTTTATTGTCATGCATTTGTATTGTAGTTATTCCTTTATTCATTATACAATCCACTTATTCTAGTTCAGGTTGACAGGTGACTGAAACTTATTCCAAGAAATCAAGGAAGAGGAATTCCTCCCTAACACAGTCTATGAATCCAGTATTACCATTACATCAAAATCAGGCAAAGCCACACACACACACACACACACACACACACACACACACACACACATACACACACACAACTTTCCAATATCCCTCATGAACATAGATGCAAAAATTCTCAACTAGCAAACTGAATTCAGCAGTACATTAAAAAGATAATACATTGCAGTTAAATGAGTTTAACTCCAGAAATACAAGGATGGTTCAACATATGAATCATTCTACCATAAAGACACATATATGCATACGTTCATTGTACCACTACTCATAATAACAAAGACATGGAATCAACCTAAATGACTAAATAAAGAAAACATGGTACACATACACCATGGAATACCATGCAGTCTTAAAAAAGAATAACATCAGGTCCTTTGCAGCAACATGGATAGAGCTGAAGACCATTATCCTAAGTGAAATAACTCAGAAATAGAAAAATTCAATATCACATGTTCTCACATGGAAGTGGGAGCTAAACAATGGGTACACATGGATATAAAGATGGAAATAATACACACTGGGGAGTCCAACAGGAGGGAGGGTTGAAAGGTTAAGGCTGAAAAATTACCTATTGGGTACAGTAGTCACTATTTGGTGATGGGTTCACTAGAGTCCAAACCTTACCATTATGCAATATATCCATGTACCAAACCTGCATATGTACGCTGTGAATCTAAAAATTTTTAAAATTCTGTTAAACAATATAGCAACAGGAATAACATATTAAAGATATTAAGTTTATTTTAAAAATAAATTTTGGATAAAACCTGTGTGTGTATATATGTAGACAGAGAGAGAAATAAATACATCTATAAAGGAGCTGCACACACACACACACACACACACACACATACACACAGTAAATACATATATGAGGAAACTATATAAAACATTTTACATTGAAATATTTCTGAATTATATCTAATTTAACTAGAAAATTTTCAAAATTTGCATATATTCAATAATAAAGAAAAGAGAGCTAATTATATACTTACCAAGAAGAGGTGGAAGTGGAGGCACTAAAGGTATTCTAATGAGTTCTAAAAATTTTCCCCCAATAATGGCGCTATAAAAAATAATTAACAATCCAAACAAATTTCCACCAGGGAGAGCTTCAGAGCCTAAGATTGACCAGGTCATACACCAAATCGTAATGAGTATAACTCCTGAAATACAAAAAAGACTACAGCTATATATCTACATGACATAGATGTATACAAGGGATCAATTCTCTTTTATCATATATACTAATAGCCAGTTCTATAAAATGATACATGGTGTAGACCAACATTGCTTACCAATTTGGTGAAAGAGATATCTGCTTAACATATATTCCAAATAACCTGTCAATTTATGAGACAGGTTTTAAACAAAGTGTGTTTATTTTAAAAAGAAATGATAGACCATTTAAGAAGAAATGATACATATATTTAAGGAGAAATGATACATATATTCCAAATAACCTATCAATTTATGAGATAGGTTTTAAATAAAGTGTTTTCATTTTAAAAAATATTTAAAACCTATATGTGGGCCAGGTGCAGTGGCTCATGCCTTTAATCCCAGCACTTTGGGAGGCCGAGGTGGGAGTATCACCTGAGGTCAGGAGTTTGAAACCAGCCTGGCCAACATAGTGAAATCCCGTCTCTTCTAAAAATACAAAAATAAACCAGGTGTGGTGGTGCATGCTTGTAATCCCAGCTACTTGGGAGGCTGAGGCAGGAGAATCACTTGAACCTGGGAGGCAGAGGTTGCAGTGAGCCAAGATCATGCCACTGCACTCCAGCCTGGGCAACAAAGTAAGACTCAGTCTCAAAAATAAATAAATAAATAAAAATAAAACTTATATATGAACTCTTGAAAATGCTAACCATTATAATATATGACAGTTAAAAACATCATGCCAATATGATGAGATTTACTTCATTTTATATTTCAAGATAGCTTTTCCATCAGGATGGAAAATAAGAGGATGACTGGCTGTGATAAGAATTCACAATCTTATTGAAGATTACAGTGTCAGGGTGCCAAATCATTTAACAGGAACATACTAAATCTTTGTATTGAAAGGATAAGTCGATTGATATTTGACATAAATGTATTAGAGGAGGTAATGGCTGGAATAAATGAACTGAGATGGGAATAAATATAAAGTATCTTAGATCATGTGTAGGAAGTAGAAGTAGATAAGATTCGTAGGTATAAGTTATTAGATATCTTGCTTCTGGCAACTAGGTGCTACTCACAGGAATCCATAGGTTTCTGTAAAGGACAGACAATAACATGTTAAATTTCCATATGCCAATTAAATGGCTACCTTTATTTCTTATGAATCCTAATTGCTAATGCTTTTAATGTTCTTAAAACAGCTTACAAGCATTTTTTAGCTATGATCCCTTTTTGGCTTTATAGAAATTGCCAGAGTGAAAGAGGATTTTCACTCACTCCAGGCAGAAAGTTAGAACAAAGTTTCTTTCTCCCTCTCCTCTGATTATTGTCATCCTGCAAAACTGGAAGCCTTGGAAGGCTAAACTCTTGCTAAAAGAATGAACCAGTCCAGGCGTGTTGGCTCACTCTTGTAATCCCAGAACTTTGGGAGGCTGAAGTGGGTGGATCATCTAACGTCAGGGGTTCCAGACAAGCCTGCAACATGGCAAAACCGTGTCTCTACTAAAAATACAAAAAAATTAGCCAGGTGTGGTAGAACATGCTTGTAATCCCAGCTCCTTGGGAGGCTGAGGCAGGAGAATCACTTGAATCCAGGAGGTGGAGGTTGCAGTGATCCAAGATGGCACTACTGCACTCTAGCCTGGGCAGCAAGAGTGAAACTCTGTCAAAAAAAAAAAAAAAAAAAAGTATGAACCAGAAAATGTCATCCTACTGACAAACTGAGAAGACAAAGCAGTTTGCCTTAGCTGGTCTCTGGGTGGCAAAGTCTTTTTTAAGAATTTATATGTAAAACTGGCTTCATCCAACTTGTGTTTAGGGCTTAAATTTACATTATGTGCACAGGTTAGGGATCCCAAAGTCCTAAACCTACCATAAAAGTGTCCCTGCATAGAAGTATCCCTAGAACACTTAGTAGATGCTAATTCAATAATCTATAATAGACACTCCTGATCCCAGACTGCATAAAGTCTCAAAGGTAAAGCCAAGTGAATCTGAACTTAAAATAAGAAGAAATCTTCCATGAGCAAAAATTAACAGATACAACAAAGAATGGGATTAGATGTCTAAAAACCTCAGCTAATAAAACCGCTAGATAGACACTATAAAATACATATTTTCAAAGGGATGAGAGACAATTTTTAAAAATTGGAGACATGAGAAGAACATATTACTTGAAAGTATTGTAAAATAATTAAATATAACCCATAAGAAAGAAACTTTAAAGCTTACTGAACTAAACAAACCCACTAAGTACCCCAAATAGCAGTGTACACATGGCTGAAGAGAGAAACATAGCAAAGTAAATAGAAATTACTTCAGAGTATAGCATAAAAAAAATGGAAAATGAGAGATTTAGATTATGAAAAAGATCTAAAACACAACTAATATTAGTTTCAGAAACATAATTGAAAGAATGAAGAAGACATAATATCTGAGAAGAAAACTGGCTTCAAATTTTACAGAATTAATTATGGCTTTTACTGATTTGGACACAGGAAGTCAAATGAGTTCTGATTAGGATTAAGTAAGAATAGATAATTAGATAAAATGTTGAGAAACTACAGACTACCAAAGACAAAAATAAAATCTTAAACGTTTAGTCTAGATGGAGAAAGACAGATTAATCATAATGAATAAACAATAGAGCAGATTCTCAAATCTTAATAGCAACAATAGAAGATGGAAGATAATTCAAGTCTTCAAAGTACAGAGATAAAAAAATCTATTCAATGTGGAATTCTGTAGCCAGCTAACTGTCACTCAAACTAAAGACAAATGAAATATATTGTCAAACAAGTACATTTAAGAACACATGCCATTTTTTTACTGGGGAAAAAATCTGCTGAAAGATATGCTTTAGAAATATGACATAGAACCAAAACAGAAGGAACAATGTGCAAAGAAATTGGTAAAATGTAAGTTAGTTTAAACAAGTATTGGTTGTGTAACACATTACTAATGAAAATAGTTAATCAGAGGATACAAAGATAAGATTGGGAGGTGACATGAGGAATAAAGATAAGGTTGGGGGATGACATAGGTTGGCGATTTATTTCCACACCAAAACTCCCTCCTAAAGTTGCACAAAATACCAAAAAACAATCATTTCAGGACCCTGAAGACACATCAAAGGCAGTTATCAAATTAAGAAGCATTTATTCTTGAAAAAGTGTTAGGGTTTTGGGTAGGATTGGTAAAAGTCTGAGCCTTTCCTGACTGGGGTTGCTCCCTGATATGGTTTGGCTCTGGGTCCCCACCCAAGTCTCATCCTGAACTGTACTCCTAAAATTCCTATGTATTGTGGGAGGAACCTGTTGGGAGATAATTGAATCATGAAGGTGGTTTTCCTGCATACTGTTCTCATGGTACAGGTATTGATCGACTTACGACCTATGCAACTTATGACCATTTGACTTTATGACCACAATCGCTAGCCACGACTGCTCTGCTATAGATTTTTGGAAACACTACAACATTTTGATGTGTATCAAGAATATTGCTACCGCCTGGGAGGCTGCGATGACAAAGTACATGAACGGCATCTGGAAAAATTGTGTTAAGCGCTATGTTAATGATTTTGATGGATTTGACAGTGAACATGAACTTGAAACGATTTGGGAAGAAATAGTAAAGCTCGTTAAAGACCTTTCTTTGGAGTGTGAAATGGAAGATGTCGAAGAGTTGCTAGACAAAGAATCTGGAGAAATTACAAATGAAGAGCTAATCAAACTGGAAGAAGAAAGAGTGGCAGAAGAAGAAAGAAGAGAAGCAGAGAAAGAAGAGGAGGAGCCAGAAAGAAAGTTCATCACTAAGGGATTATCAGACGATTTATCTTTACTGAATAAACTTCTTATACATTTTGAAGCAATGGACCCAAACATCGAACGATTTGCAAGGATTGAACGGATGGCGCACGATGTGTTTCATCCACATTGTGAAATTTATGAAGAAAAAAAGAAACATACAATTCAGACAAAGCTCACCATGTTTATGAAAAAAACAACTCTGAACCCCAACTGCTGCCTCAGATGACGACATCAACGATCTGCAGCCAAACACCAGTGGCCAATAAAATGTTTCGTACATGTTTATATACTTTGATATGTTTTGCAATTGGGAAAATGTTTCCTATGGTATTTTTTACACCTGTATTTTGTATTTTTGTATGTTTTGCAAATATTAAACCAGTTGTACTGGTAATGCAGTGTTTTACTTAAACCTGATGAATGTAAAAATAAGAAACAAAATGGTGTAGAGATGATACAAATAGCACAAAATGAACAAAGAAAATTATAATATATAACAATAATGAAAGAAACTTATAAAATATGACTTAAAGATTTTTATAACATCATTTCACAGTACTGTACATATAGCCTTCTCAACTTACAACCAAATTGTGTTACGACCGGTCTGTCAGAACCAATCGTGGTCGTAAGTCAAGCACTAGCTGTAGTGATTAAGTCTTACGAGATCTGATCACTTTATCAGGGCTTTTCACTTTTGAATATTCCTCATTTTCTCTTACCACTGCCATGTAAGAAGTGCCTTTCACCTTCTGCCATGATTCTGAGGCCTCCCCAGCCATCTGGAACTGTAAGTCCAATTAAACCTCTTTTTCTTCCCAGCCTTGGGTATGTCCTTATCAGCAGCATGAAAACAGACTAATACACTCCCATCCCTCTTCTCATTCCCAAGCTCACTTGGGAAAAACTAGCTTTACCAGTATGAAGCGAGATGTAAAAACCAGCAACTTTCCTGTTAAGTCTGGGGGCAGGGGTGGATTTGGTATGGAGCAGAGGGAAGAAATCAGTGGTTTTGGCAGTTAAATATAGCAGAGTGGTTCAGGAAAGAACAGAGAGAATTGCAGGTTTGCTATTCTGAGGTTGCAGTCTTAGTTAAGGCAAGTGGAAGACAAGACAAAAATTTAAATGAGATATCCTGTGGGTCAGTAGGTGCAGCAAACCACCATGGCACATGTATATCTATGTAACAA